TGAATTTTTTCTAACAGAAGACATTTAATTCACTATCTACTCCATCGCTAAGTACGCGGTCCTCCGATCTTTTGCCGCTACTTGACACAGCTGTGTGGAGTTTGCCTGAGCAGCGTGTCCTCCAGCGTTCATCGTGTGCTCTTTCCAGTTTTTGGGCTGCCTCTTTTTTTCTTTTCTCTGAACTTAATCCACCAGCGGCTGCGTCATCACTGCTTGATATTCATGTGCTACACTATCGCAGGAAATCTGTTTTGCACGCGCACCAGTGTCGTGCGGGTACTTTTTAAGATTTACTTTAAACAAAAAAATTAAAGTTTTACCTCGCACGCCCTTCCTCGAAACCCTAGCTAGGAGTCCTTGGTCTAGGCCAAGGAATCCTCAAAAGCTGCCAACAGGCAGTCAGCAGTATGTATTGGCTTCGGAAACTCAATGTCAACGCTTATTGAACTGAAGTTGTTTCAGGTCTGAAACGCACTAATCTACTTCTAATCCTCAATATAAGTGGGTCTTTATTCTTATCGCTTCGAAAGTGTCTGTGTCTAATAGAGAAGCTTGCTCCATTCCCTCTCTCGTTTTATTCTATCTCCTCAAGACTCTGCGGCATCGTCTGATTTGAAGACAGCTTCGTCTCGTGGGTTTTATGCATCCTTAAAGTTCCTTCGCTCCCGTTTCACATAACCGTTTGCTATTATGTCCGTATTTCTCTAAGGGCATACCGAGGCGTTATTTGTTCTCTTCAGGAACTATACCCGTGAGTACGACGGCTGCCAGTGGCGTTGCAATTATAACTGTCGAACAGACCTTTGGGAACAACCAAATTATCATTGTTCCGGGCGCAAACAACGAGATCTCCATTGAAGACGTCGACGAAGCTATCAAAAAGGAGTTGGTTTCGAAAAAAGTCATGGTTTGCCAGTTTGAGGCATGTGTTACCTTCCCTGTTTAATTGTTACTTCGCGTTTTATTTCTATTTTAACAGATCTGTGTTGCATGTTCACACGTCGCTATAGTAACGTGCGCTAGGGTTCGTCCCTCTAGCAAACTGCAATTAATTCGTCCATAGACATCTTTGACACTTTTCCGTAGCTTAACTGATTGACATGTTTTTTACTTCTTTAGGTCAGTCTTAGTGCAGAGGATTAATTATGCCAAAAGTGGTCTTTTAGTATATGCAATTGAGTAAATGGTACACGCACTGGCGGATACATGTTCGGCAACTGCGCCCCGCACTGTGTCCGTGGGCCAATTGCGATGATTTTTTTGTTAACGGGAGCTTTCACAAAAATTTACATTGACATGGAGCAGTAAAAATGGTATTTTAGAACACCAGTTATAATTTAAAAGAAGGAGGTGTGATCACTGGGACAAGACTTTCATTTGCCTGGACGTTTCGAAATCCTTCGCGGATCCTTCAACAGGGACATAAGTAACAACAGTAGCAGAAAGGGGTACCTGTAACAGTTATAATTCTAACTTATCCACCAGGCCTCTCACTGTTTTCTCTGTGTAATTTGTAGACGACTAAGGATCTACAGTGTACGATCTTTCTTAGTCTTTTTTTACACTAAGAGGGTCGTTCCAGAAGTATCCATCCGGGTATTATCGGGGAGAAGTCATCTTCAGTCTTGAGAGTGTAGGGAGTCTTTTTTAAACATTCACATCACTCCACTTGGTCTAATTCCTTTTGATCCCGAAACTTTTAATTGTAATTATACTGGTGTTTGAAATGGGATTCTTTACACAATAACTCTGTGTTTTTAGAAATTTCATAGTAATTCTGGTGTTGTGCCCTATCATCTTCAAGGCTAACGCCACTGCCACCCTGCATGCAATGGAATGGGCTAAGGCACACGACGTTCTGACCATACTGGACCCTGCACCAGCTCCTAACCCGCACTCAGACTTTGCGCCCCTGTTGCCGCGTTTCCTGGCGGCTTCCAGCATCGTCTGCCCTAACGAGACTGAAGCGGCTGCCCTAACTGGTATTCCTAGATGGGAGGTACAACCGGATCAGATCCCTGAGGCCTCTATACCCTGGCTCCTGGCCCTCTGGAAGCGCAGTGTCAAGTATCCCTTAGTGACCTTGGGGTTAAGTGGAGTAATTGCCCTTCTACCCAGGTCAGAGAGTGACCTCATAACAGCCATGGATGTACGCGTCCTGCACTGTGACCAGCTGCCCGATGACAAAGCCATCTTCCATTTGCGTGCGCCGGTCCACGCAAAAGCACTGGATACTACAGTACGTGCAGTATGCATGTTATTTTCTTGTACCCGTCTGGTAGTCTAGCCTTGTAAATGCTTACCTAACTGGCGTATTTTTTGGTAATCCAGGGGGCCGGTGACTGCTTCACTGGGGCCTTGGCCTTCTACATCTCGAAGTATCCCGGTCTAAAAATGGTGGAAAAGATTCGTCGTTCCGTGTGGATCGCCAGCCAATCCGTTCTGCGTATGGGCACGCAGGCGAGTTTCTACTCCCGTGATGAACTGCATCCAAGCCTGTTTGACGATAAGAAGGAATTTACGTGGCCGTAGCTCTATTTGACTTCCGCGTTTATATTTCCACTCCGACGAACGTATTTTTTAATCCCATCCCTTGCCCCCGCCCTTCACTTTTGTAATCTTTATTTTTATGCTTCACAGTAGGCCGACAATAAAGCTATTTTATAATGCTCTATTTCAAAAGAACTTCTTCAAGAAGGTGCCATTCTGATAGTAAAAGTTTGATGACAGTGTTGGGTTTAAGTGCGAATGCCATTTTATAGGGGAAAACGAATATACCAAATAAAAGTTATATGAGTAATTTTTGTCTAATTGCGGCCAAACTGAAAAACACTATATAGTATCAAAGGGCAGGTTCGTAACCTCTTTCAGATTTTCTAGGCGAAAATGGAGTAAACTCTTCGGACGTCCTTAGAGTAACCAAAAGAATACAAATTGGTCGAGTCATGCTTGCAGCTACCTCATTGGCTGTATGTAGTATATTGAACGTGTACAAATGTTCCTGACGCGTGTTGGTGAACTCAGTTCTGCCCATATTGTAATAACGATCTAGTGGCTCAATTTTTGACCCAGATCTCGTGGTAAAAATTAGAGTATTACGTACTGAAGACTACCTGAGTTCGACTTAATGATCCCCAACAAAACTTTTTGTCTTTTTCGTAAGTACTGTTATTACCAAAGATAATGGAAAATCCGTTGCAAACCGCTTAACACGCTGCTTTTCTCTGTGTAACCACAAGAAACTCACGAATCATCCCTGGGTTCAAGTTATTACTTGTGTTAGGAGCCTATACTTTTATTATTTTAAAAACTAACTGATGTCGAAGTTTGGCCAGTTTAACTTCAACTCAGGAGGGGCTCCCTAAATTTGGCGCCTTGTCTTCGCATTTAGTGAGTAACTTGAGATTTCTTTACAGGGTGTGCCGTAGTTGTACTCACGATAAGACAAATTATCTGGATTGCAATACATGTTGTTGTTACTAATACTCGTGAACCTTAAGGTCAAATTTATATAGGCTCCTTTCAGTGAGGGAATTTTTTGAGATAAAATAAATTAGTTTTCAGCGCTAGCGTTGGCTGTTTTAATCTCTATTGAAAGCTCAGTATCCGGCGAGATGAATTGATGAAAATGCAGTTCGACAATTCCTGCATGCATTCCAAATACTCGCGTTTTATCCACGAACTGACTTCGCATCTTTTTTGGGGCTTAAATTCATGTTCACATTGTATAATTCCGAACAGAAATACCTGCTAGGGCGTTCCGTGAATTCACTCTACATGCTATGATCTCGTCAAAGCACTTTAACTTATTTTTAGGCAAGCTTGTCGAAATATGGTGGTCAGCAGCTCGGGGGTTTCTCAGATGAAAAGTCGGTAAGTGATAGTTGGCAGGGGTACTTACTGAACCAAATTAACTGCCGTTATCCTATTACACCATTCATCCGCGTTGTTAATCTGAAAATAACCATTATAACACGGTTTTTCATTATTCGGGGTATAGTTGAATATTTGTCCGTGTGTTACGACCGGTGGTGTTTTTACTACTTCATAAGTGGAGAGCCATCCTTGTATCCCGCACCGAACTATTTTTTTTGCGAAAAAATTCTTAATTTCAGCTTTTTAATGACCTCCAGATGGCAAAGGTGACGCCGGCCTCGCGTCGCTCTGCTTGCGAATGGTCACTCCAGAAGAATGTTTCAACTAGCGCCCACCTCCTCCACAAGGCCTTCGTCGGAGAAACGGGTTTCGCTGAGTGCAGCGATGTCGACCTTCAAGCGCGCTAGTTCTCGGGCGATAAGCGCTGTTCTCCGTTCCGGTTGGCTGCTCTTCGGGTTAGCGAGGAGAGAGTGGACATTCTATGTTACTAGCATGATGGGAACGCAGTATTCAAACTCATTGTGGCCATTTCCACAACACCATTGCTTACTATG